ACACCACCACCACCACCACCACCACCACTACCACCACCGCATCAACACACCTCGAAACACTACACTACACTCACACAAACACCGCACCACGCCACCCTACACCACACTCACACCCACGACTTTTACACATAGACTCGTAAAGATGCATTCAAACGTGTACATATACACCAACGTTCACTAACCCCCCACCCCACACACTCAAATTCGATGAAGAACCAATTCCCAATCAAAACTTCCCCCAAACTGTTCTGAAATTATCTTTGGAAGTGGGGAGCTTGCAGGGCGATAATCTCCTCCCTATCCCCGACATCTCAAATTAGGCCGGCTGTCATGTCACGTGTGACGGATGCCTGCTGTAGCACTTTCATAGAAGAAATCAGTCATTCTACCCTCACGCGAGCTTTTTCCTCCCAAATTGAGTCACGCACAGAGCGCTTGAGGACAAACAGTTCGGTATGGTTTTGAAGGCAGGCCGGAGCTTGCCACAGAAGAGGGAAAATGAATAGAAAGCGCAATGGTCTACTTTTACGAGTGACTGAAGGGCCATTTCTATGTGGTCTTGATGAATAGTCCTACAAAGTGCGAAATCTTTTCATCTTTGTTCCCATTTATGAATTCAGGAAAGTTGGCAATAGTAAATACTCTCAGAAGGCTGTGATCTACAAACAGGTGTTATAAATATACACTTCTGGTGGCCCAATTTTTGTGTCACTTTTCAAAACAACTCACACACTTTTCAGACATCAAAATTTAAACGAAGGTAGCAGTCAATGTTCCTAAGAGAAGTTGAATTTTCATTCTTTTGAACTTAAAAATAAAACAGATGTAAATTTTTATCCCCATGTACAATCATAAAATACTTAAGAATAGTGCCACTGCCTTCCAATTCCACTTTGAAAAAAAATGTAAACGTCCTCTCTAAAGTGCAGGTTCATAGCTCAGACTCATAATATCGATTGTATGAAGGTGACAAGGTGTTTAGGTGGGTGGGCACTTGTGTGTGTGTCCTAGAGCACCACATAATACTCCTTGTTTAAAAACAGAGTGCTACAGAGTGGTTGCCAGGAATGATTGCGTGGTTTGTCTTTGTAATACTGTGTATTATTCAAGCATGTATGTATTAGAGTTTAATTTTGTGGAAGGAGTTCCGCAGAGGGCCAGCCGACCAACAACACCTAACCCTAACATTGTCCCATACCCTAACCTTAACCGTAACCCCAACCCTAACCTTAACCGTAACCCTAACCCTAACTCTTGTATAGTTTGCTCAGTGGACCTTGTCACGGTAAGTGCCGGCCCTCTGCAAAACTCCTCCTAAATTTATTGTGTGTTTATTTATGCCAAGGGATCAGTGAAGTGGAATTTATTTATGTTTATTTCTATTTTTATTCTGCAAATATATTCCAAAGAAGTTAGATTGACGTCAAGTAGTCGTACTGTTATGGTGGACGAGAGCAGTCGAAAGCGATACGCGATGGTCTAGCCTTAATAAGCTTCAGGTTGTCTTTAATAAACGTTCCATAAACATTCCTGGCATTTCTTGTCACGACAATTACAGACCTCTATTTTTGAGCCGGGCCTGTTGTGGCTTGCAGAAGGACACCCCCCCCCCCCAACAAGTGACCACCGACTTAAACGCCATGTCACTGAAATTGCTGGGCATTATATGTGGGCCTGAGCCCCGTAATACCTCGACCACTAGATCCGTCAGCCCTTTTCCTTACATACAGGCTCAGTTAATTAAATCACTATGGAAAGACTATTTAGAACACTCAGCACGTCTCTTGAAACGTGGAAAATCATCGAAAACAAAACGAATCTTTCAACCTATTCCTTTCCAAAGACGCAAGCTCCAAACCTCACCCTAAACAGAATAATATCCTATTTTGATTTTTCAAACGAACGGAATCTACTAAGACAGAGGCAGCGAAGAGCTGCAACAAGTGTCCTGTTTCTGAAATCGGGAGCCTCTAAATTAGGCTAATTCGCATACCTTTATCGTGTCATGTGATAGATGTCTGCTCAACACACTAAAGGAAGGGATCATTCCTTCTTTCCTCACTCAAGCGCTTTCTTCCAAAATTGTGTCACGCACAGAGAACCACAGTCAGATTGGCCATGAGAGCTGAAGACAGGGAAACCATAGAAGGGGAAAAGAGAACGTGTGGCGCAGAGGTAATCTGCAATGACGTCACTATGGAGTATACTATAACGCTTCTTTGGTTCGTTTGAGTTCGAAAACGCGTGTCAACCTTGTGTGGAGTTGATGCTTTACAGGAGCCACAATTCTAAAGTATCATGGAATAAAGGAGTCGACATGTCCCTTGTTTCATAATACAAATAAAAGATCGCATTTATTGTATAGCACAAATTTCCTTTCAACAGCAAGCTCTTTGCCTTTTTGAATCTATAATATTATTATTGCCCCAGTAGACTTGATAGCAGGCTAACATTCTGAAACTACCTCACCAAACAACAGCCCGGGGCCAAATCAGGTCCGCCATCATGATCATGCCACCATATTGGGGGTGGCGGAGAGCTAGAACTTTTGTTTGCAGAGTGTGTGTGTGTGTTCATGACTTGATGACCAAAGTGACTTACACACTACCTTGGACTCTACAGTGCAAGTTAAACATCCTTGTGTTGACTTCATAGCTTCTAGCTTAATGTATTGCACGCGAGTTCGACTTGATGTGACAAAACATTAGGGTATTGTGCTGAACACAATAGTTATCCGCTTGCCTTCGCCATTCTCTCGTTATCCGGCCCACTTTGGAAATAGTTTGGTGAGGGCTGTTATGTATAAAACTAGCTCCTCAGCCCGTCTTTCCCCCTAACCTTCTAAAAAAAATTGAAATGTTAGGGCCAAGATTTTTTTTTAAGAAATGAAAGATTTTGATACTAAAAGAAAACACTTTGTCAAAAGGCTAGACAACCCACTGGTGCCGTTTAGTACCAACTTGTTTTTATTTTTGATATACACCTGACTCTCTTGGATACTTAATTTTTTGCGCTATATCTTTATAGGCATTTGCCCTCAATTGGTTTAGTACGTCATTAAAAACTCGCTTACTTAGTTTGAAAACTAGGGTTTAGAAAAGCATCATACTCATCACCACATTTACGAATGCTTCCTATTTTATCATTTGCTTATCTGAGTTTTGTCTGTTCTTCTATGTTTCAATTACACTGGTACGTTATCCTCAGTTCATATACATTATGTTTGTGTTTATCAGAGAGCAAGAGACTGTAGGACTTTTCAAAAATCGATGGTGGAAAGGCTGATAAGCCTGTTTTGTTCTCAAATGAGAGTACAATGGGCGTCAAAAGTAAAATATACACTGATTTAGCTCCTTTCACTCATAAATCTGGACTGTTTCACTCTTTATTTTCTAGGAACCTCCTTTTTTGATGCTTAGAGGTAACGTAGAAGAGGACGGGTCACCTTTGATTGGCAACGGCAGATATGAAGGTACGTGACCGTAGCATTTCTATTCTCATGCAACGCAACAACACAGTGTGGTAGATTAATTATTAAGGCACTGAAGCCTAGATTCTAATGTTCAAGGGGGAAACCACGTAGAAGAAAAGTCTTGGGAAACTCGCCAAATGGCTTACCTTCAAGAACACCCTGTTCGGGATTCCACTCTTGATTCCTTGTATTGCAGTCCAGCATAATACCAACTGATTATAACCACACGCCTACCATTCTCAGTAACTTTATTATACTTTGAGATTATTAGGCAAATTCTTTAAGGCAGTAAACTGATTAGGTGTGTCAGTTCAAGGAGTTCAAATTCGAGAAAGGTCAAAGATCTAGTAACAATATCCAAACAGCTCACGTCACAACTGCTTTTAGTGTTGGCTCAGTCTTCCAATAAATGGATGTAGATGGGCAAAGGTCTATTTCAGTTCCCCATTCTTAAAATACATTAAGATCGTCTGTCGAGCATGATTTCACGACTACCTCCATGATTGCCTTACAGAGCTTAAAGACCTTTGACGTGTGTAGACGGTCAAGTAGGTTCCTAATGGAGGGTTGAAGTAGAACTTTACCTCTCTAGATGCTATAGTTTTTAAAGCAGTATCTCACTCCTTTCTCGTATTGTTGCTATCTAACGCTACTTTGAAATGTTTCCTCTGTATTGTTACTTGACACGACATGCAATACTTGCCTTCTGCCGCATTGTGACGTAGATGTCTGATGGCAGCATTGACCTTGTTTGTTTGTTTGTTTGTTTTGTTTGTTTGTTTATTTTTAAAGGATGAATCGCTAGTCACTGTACACATCATGTCTGCCACTACAGTACAAATACTTGATTATTTCATCACGCCGGCTGTGATGATCTCGTTACCGGGGTATAGAGGCTTCTCGTTTTACTTATCACCGTGTCTCGATTAATAAAAAATCCCTTTGGCCTACTCTCTTCTGTAAACATTTCATATGGATATTCTAACATGAAAGTTTGACACTTAACACACGGTTACACCACCTAAGCGCATCCTCCCTCTCCCTCAGCCCCAACATCGGTGTAATCAAATTAATAATGATCTAACTTGAAACAAGGGGAACTACCAAGACACATGCAAGCATTTCATATGTGTGTGGGTGTGTCTGTATGTGTGCATATGTGCTGTGTGTGTGTGTGTGTGTGTGTGTGTGTGTGTGTGTGTGTGTGTGTGTGTGTGTGTGTGTGTGTGTGTGTGTGTGTGTGTAATATTATGTGTGTATGTATTAAGGTATACGAAAGTAATACTGTGAAGCGTACGATATTATTGATGTTGGACAGAAATGGGTATTGGTTTTCTTAGGTTACGCCAAAGACTTAGCGATGGAGATAGAGAAGCGGCTGGACATTGACTACATCCTTGACCCAGTCACGGATGGAGAGTACGGCAGGGAGGTGGAGAATGGCTCTTGGACGGGTATGATTGGGCAGCTTGTTAGTGGGGTAAGTTGCCATAAATGCTACATAACTTGTTCCATAATATGGTGTCCCTTTTATTTAACGCAGTGCCGTTTCGAAATGAACTGGGAGTCCGAATAACCATTTCTTCTTCTCGATTATGTATATGAGTGTACACAAATTAAATGTATAACTTTAAAAACACAATCTTCTCTCCCCAGCGATTCAAACACTACAGGTATCCGTTTCGAGTCGTATGCACCTGAATTACAGAAAGCAGAGATTAAAACCATAAGAAAGCTTGTCTAGGTCTTAATTTTTCTAATAGAGCCTTACATTAAAATTTGTTGAAGACAGAAAAAAAGCAGGAGATCGTATTCCACAAATTAATAAACAATTCAAAGCAATTACACCAAGAGCGCTCTCTACTTCCCTCTCCACACACTACCCCCCCCTCAAAAAAGAATAAAAACATCCACAACACCCACAACCACAAAACAACAGACAGATCCGAACAAACCAACAAAAAAATTATTATGAGAAAATAAAAGCTACTTTGTTGTTTTCATTCCAAAAGCCTTTCCCCCTGACTCAGTTTCCTTTACCAAAAATACGAACAATATAAGTAAATGAGTTTAATTTGTTTTCCAGAAAGCAGACCTTGCCATCGGCCCTCTGACTATCACTGCGGCCAGAGAGCGGGTGGTGGACTTCACAAAGCCATTCATGGACATAGGAATCTCTATCATGACTCTCAAGCCAGAGAGACAGAAGGCGGGACTCTTCTCTTTCATGGAGCCCTTCTCGCTGTCCCTCTGGGTCAGCATTGTCATTGCTTACGTCACTATCAGCTTGACCATTTTCATCGTGAGCAGGTAACTCAGTCATCACTTTGCTGATGGAAGTCTGGACTGATTGATACTGCTTGATAATTAGATATCATTATAGCAGTCATATTATGCTTTAGTCTATGCCTCTGTTCATTTGTCTCTATTTCTACTTTTGTCTCTGTTTCGCTGCCTGTCTGTCTGTCTGTCTGTCTGTCTGTCTGTCTGTCTGTCTGTCTGTCTGTCTGTCTGTCTGTCCGTCTGTCTGTCTGTCTATCTGTCTGTATGTTTGTCTGTCTGTCTGTTTGTCTGTTTGTCTGTCTGCCTGTCTGTGGCTCTCCTTCTTTTTCTCTCTCTCCCCCCCTCTCTCTCTATCTCTCTCTCTATCTCTCTCTCTCCCCTTTCATCTTTCTCTCTCTTACAACCTCTCCCTGCATACCTCTCTCGTACTGTGCCACTTCCCGGCTCTATGGATACGCCCATTTCTCTCTAATTTCTCACCCTCATACGTGTTCTTTCTATCATTTTCTTTCTCTCTCTCTCTCTCTCTCTCTCTCTCTCTCTCTCTCTCTCTCCTCTCTCTCTCTTTCTCTCTCTCTCTCTCACTTTCTCTTTCTTTCTAATACTCTCTCTCTCTAACATTTTTCTCTCCCTCCTACTTTCTCACACAATTTATCATTTTCTTTATCTAGACGTCTTTTCTCTCCCCCTCTGTCTGCCTGTC